CTGCCCGCCGGCGGTGGTTGTGTGCAGGGAGCAGCACAGAGAACGTGAGGAATCGGGGTTGGTTTGGCTGCCGGGTGGTTAGGGACTGTTGTTCACCTCTTAACGTGTCGTGTTGGCCCGTTCAGCTCCGGCAGCACCAAAGCGTGATCCAGTCAGGCTGTGCAGTTCTACGAGAACTTTACCTCCCACCCAGGGAATCGGGTGTTAGGAATGTACTGACCTTCCTGGTAAGTTTGCTTTCTGAAGCTAATACAAGTGGAAACAATTAGATACTTTAAAGCTATTTTGGAGTTAATACTTATTTCTGGAAGAGCACCCAGGAAGAGGTAAACTTTGTATCCACTTAATAGATGTCTTGTGCAGTGGTTAGCTTTACTTTTAAACATTCTTCTTTAAAAGGAAAAATAAAATTTCTGCCTTTCGAGGTTAAGTGATCTTCAACTGCAAACAGATGTGATGTATCAATGGTGGCACAGTGACTAGTCATCTGTTTAATTTAACATGTGTGTGTTATTGATGGCTTTTAGGGGAACGCTCACAAGTAGCTGGTGTCCACGGTCTTTTATTTATTATTATGTTGAGAATTTGTGGGAATGGCAGCGCCAGCTGTGTGCGATGGGGTAGTGATGCCATCCCGGTAGGCCCTCGCTTGTAGTCCTGAATCAGACCCGCTGAACAGTCTGAAATTTCTTGAGTTTGTTTCCCAAGGACAAATAGTGTTTGTGTAGTGGAAAGCGTGAGCAATAGTAAACTTTGCGAAAACATCCTCTTACGTTTTGACTTTGTCCTGGCCCCCAGATTTCAAAGTGGAATCAGGCTTAATAAGCCACTGAAGATTTACTAGGGCAATGTCTTGTAAAGAAGTGGCCCTTTCCTTTAGCACTTATGTTGTGGCACCTTGAGGCTTTCGTATGGAGGTGGTGTCCGCGCATGCACAGAAGAAAAACCTAGGGGGGAGCAAAGGTGTGGTTGCTGAATGAAGATGGGAAAACTGAATTTGCTTTTAACTTCTTTTTGTGGGAAAGGCATAGGAAGGAATAGTATTGTGGTTCCAATTTAGTCATTTGAGTGGTTAATTGCTGTAAGTACAAGGAGAACTCTTGGTTTCTTTTTTCTCCCCTCTCTTCCTAGCTCAGTGTCGCTACAAAAATTTGTTATTTTCTGGTCTGGTCTGTGGTGCTGCACGGATGAGTTCCTCTGTAAGCTCCTTCCCCCTGCCCTGCTGTGGGGATGCTCTTCCTGCCCCTGCCCTGCGGCACCTCTCGTTTCTATGGAAACTTGAGCATCTTTGAAACCTCAGGGAGGGGTAAGAATTGGCCAGAGGGCTCAGTACTCAGCGGAGTGATGACTTGCCAGATCGATGTTCATCTGCTGAAGAGCATGAGGCTGCACAAGCAGGGTAAGCTGGGAAACTGCAGGATTTTTCTGTGGTTAGAAGACGTGCTTGAGGCAGAGAGCATCTCGGCAGTGCAGCGTCAGCTCTCCTGCAGGTGACTCCGTTCTGGGCTTATGCTCTTGTGTAGTAGCACCAGTTGCAGTGGCTGTAAGATACCTGTATATCAACATCCTCACTGCAGCCTCTGTACCTTACTGTGCTTCACCTCCCTCGGAGCTGTGAAGAAATGTCCAAGAAAATTGGCTTTGTTGGAGTTGTCGTTGGGGTTCCTAATAGGAATAGTTTCTTTCAGAAAGAAAAAGGTTAGTTGCACTAAAATTTTCTTGAAAGACAAAGCATATGCAAGATCCGACGAGCAATTTGCTGTGGCTGGTGGCTCTGCCTTCGCAGGAGTGTGGAGCAATCTGCTTGTTCCCACAGAGACTCATAATTAGCACTTGTGCCGCAGCCGGCTGAGCCGCTGCAGTTGTTACAAGTATGCTTTGTACTCCGGGCTGGCTTTTCTGCTGGAGAGCGGGCTGAACGAGGAGGGAAGGATGCTTTTCCGCCTCTCTTCTAATCTCTCCACTTACATTACCATCAGTAAGCATATGGCAACTTAAGCAGGCTGCCGCGGCGTACGTCGGGGTGGATTTATACCGTGTGAGCTTTTCTGGTAGTTGTCCCTGCGCGCGTTCTGTCCGTAGGAAGTAGCTTATGTCTGTTTACCCTGAGGGTTAATTACTGCTTGGGTGGGATGGGTAAAGCACAGCCACGGATGCTCACAGCAGAGGAGCTAATGCTGTAACTTGTGATGCTGCCTGCGACACCCCTCAATCCTAGCGGCCGGGATAACTTAACCTTGAGGGTGGCTGTGGTCTGAGAAGCAGGTGATGTAGTCGGTGAGAGAGGAGCTCTTGCGGTGCTCACACAGGATGCTGCTCTTGTTGGAAACTGAAAGGAAGGTCACCTTTCTAGTCATTTCAGTTTCAAAGCTTTGGGGTGTTTTTTTCCTGAAAAGGTTGGAGGTACTGGATGGACTGGAAATTTGCATCTAGAGTTTGTACCACCACCCTGTGGTATTAGTAGTAGCAATTCCTCAGCAGTTATTGTCAGGCATTGAGCAGCAGCAGCAGCCCGTGCCATGTCTCCTGCGCGTGCCTGTGGTACTGTTTGTGCTGTTTTCCAAAGAATCAGGCTGGAAAAGCCAAGAAGTAACTTAGCCTTGCCACGAAACGTGGAGCCGCACGTATTGCCCTTGTGCAGTTCAGCTGCGCTGCTGGTGGTGTGGCACCTTCTGCACGCCGGGGCCGAGCAGGGCAGGCGTTTCAGCTGCAGAGAGCTCCAGTGCATCCCTCTCTGTGTTTAACTGCATTTAAGACAGCATCTCCGTGGCAGACATGGGGTCAGACCGTACCATGGCCGTCCTCAGCTTTTGTGCACTCCAACAGTAAGGGCTGAATTGAATTCGATTGTCTTGTGCTACCGTGATTATTCTCTCCGCTGCATAAATCCTGTTTTCCTGAGCTGCCGCTTCTACAGAGAGTACGAGGCGCGTTTGGAGAGGTACAGCGAGCGAATATGGACGTGCAAAAGCACGGGAAGCAGCCAGCTGACGCACAAAGAGGCTTGGGAGGAGGAGCAGGAAGTTGCTGAGCTGTAAGTACCAGTAAAGAAATTGGTTCTGTGTCTGTCTTTAGGCTTTGGGGGCAAGAGAGTGGGTTTGAGAACGACATGCAGTTGGTGGTTTATGAAGTGAGGTAAGTAGCTTTTTACTGGCCTGTAAGTAGATCCAGGGATTTTGGAACTGAAAGCAAATTAAGTCCAAATTCGATGCCGTCACTATTGCAGTTGAGTGATGTGCTTATTTAATGCTGTGTCTTGGTATTACTTGAAGCAGAATAGTTCAGCATATGGTACTTGGCATATTTTAAAGCCCTTGAGTAATGGGAATTTTTAAAAGAGGAAAAAAAAGAAATCTTGAAGGAACTAAATTAAAAGTTCAGTAAAAAGAGGCCTTTGAAGTGTTTCACATCAGGCAGGTCCACAACTGTAATTATTATTTCCAGATCTCCGTTGGAATCAGTTGGATTTAACCGGGGGAGGTTGTCAGCAGCACTGCCTAGGTGGTGAAATTTTCTGCTGCCTCTGTTTTGTGAAGAATCCACGTGTCTGATTCATTGGCAAAGAGTTAATAGCCTTAGTCTGTGGAGAAATTCGCCATAATTTGAGGCTAATCACATCCTTGAAGGCAGCAAATAAGAAGACTCTTTGCTAGTAGTCCTAATTTCTGTGAGGGTTGGAGAACTGCTGTCTTCAATTTTTCCTCCCTGATGTTCTTATTTGAGAGTGCCAGCTCCATAAATTTTTAATCCTGGCTCAAAAACCACTGGTCAGGCGTTGCTTACTTTTGGTTAACAATGGTGGATTGCTTGGCCAGTTCTGAAGGCATTAAGAGATGTAAAAAGAAATATAAATGGAATATTTCTGAGTAACAAATTTAGCTCTAGTCTCTCTAAATGGGGAGAAAAAAGAGTCTGTGAAATGAGATTTTGGTCTTATCTCTTTGAAACAGTGTTAACAGCTTCCCAGGCAGTTTGTTGCGACCTGACCCTAGTCTCAATAAAAAAAGTTCATTTAGGCAGTTTGCTAAAGAAACAGATTTGGTCGTGGCAGTTGTAGAACAGCAAATATAGTCAGCAGTGGATCCCTGAGTCTGGGAAGCTAAAAGGGTTTTGAATAAATACAGTGTTTTCTTCCTTCTTACAGTAACTTGAAATGGACTTTACTTTTTAGCCAGAAAGCTTCATGCAGTGTGTTTGTTAGTACTCCTAGCAGCTGACTGACCTGCTCTTTTAGAAAGGAAACTAGTCAGGTAAATTTGTAACAACCCTTTCTCTTCTCTGAATGAAAAAATTGCGAATGTCATGACATGGTGAGATTCACAGAATGTTTTTCTCTGGAAGCAGAGCCTGCCTCTGTCTTCTTTACTGTGTTAGCACTCTGGGAAGAAAGAAATGCTAAAGGTTCATCCAACATTATTGTTGGAAGGAAAAAATCTGAATTAACAAGCCCCACAATAACGACATGGTCTCGGTATCTATTTAACATAGAATAGGGAGGCAGTAATAACCAGCAGGAAAGGGTTCACTGCCAGTGCTGCTCTTCCAGAAAGCTTTATGGCCCTTCCTTCTGGGAAGGACAAGTACAATTTGTATTGTCATGCCAGTTAACACTTTGGGGGGGTGCTGGGGGGAAGGGCAGCAAAAAGCCCTTGGATGTTTGCATGCTAATGTGGCATCTGCCTCAAACATCGTCCTGGCTGTTTACATTCCTGGAATTGGGAAATGGGAGGCTACTTTGCATTTTGGCTTTTATTCCCTGAATAATGAAAACTTCTTCTGTGCTTGCTCAGCTTGAAGGAGGAGTTCCCCATCTGGTATGAGAAGCTGGTACTGGAAATAGTCCACCACAACACCGTCTCCCTGGAAAAGTTGGTGGATGCAGCTTGGCTGGAGATCATGACCAAGTTTGCAGTGGGAGAGGAGTGTGACTTTGAGGTAAGGATCCGTTTTTCATTTTATCCCGTGTTTTTGCGCAGAACTAATTTTGGATATCGTAAGGCGGGACGCGGGAAGAATATGTTGGCCACTTACGTTATGAGGAACATGGTGAGAATTTCTTTTCTGCAGCATCCGCAGGGACAGCACCTGCTTTCGAACGCTAAACGGTTCCTTAAGCAGAAGCACGTGAATGACACATCCTGATGGCAAGAGAAAAATGACTGAGCTCTGCGTATGTGTGGGGGAAATAGAGATATATTTGTTACACAGCCTAAATATGTGATCATCTGAGTATATAAATATGCCCTTAAAAATAGGTATTTTAATTAAAATAAGTTAGAAGTTATAGCCTGCCATAATTTTTCACCTAATATGTTCCCAGAAGGAAGAGGAGTCTTCAACTAATGTAGCTTGAAGTCAGCTGGTTACAAATCTTGAATGATGCTCTCAGGATCCCTCCAAAACTGGGAATGATGGGGAAAACTCAAACTCCTTAAACATAAGGGAAAGTTGTAAAAGGTTCTCTGTTAGCAGCTTGTTTAGGACATATTTCTCTGAACTGGGGCTGCTGAGAGTGCATGTTTGCCCCTTACACGTGTGCTCTTTCCTTAGGCTGAGAAAGCAGCATTATTAAACCCCGGAAAAACTTGTGGGTTGGCAGCTCTTTCTTAGCAATTTGCACGGAACTTACAGGTAGGAGTAACAGAAGGAACTAGTGTCATTGTTTCATGAGAGGGATCACGAACTCCTCTCAGGGAGGGTGCCAATTAAGTGTTTTGCCAAATTAGCGTTTGTAGGTCACCTGAGCTGCTTTTTTTTTGTCTTGCTCGTGGTGTTAAAGCTCACTAGTTTGTGTGTCTTGCTCAGGTTCAGTTTTCATCGATGTTCCTTTCCTTGCAGGTTGGTAAGGAGAAAATGTTGCCTGTGAAAGTTGTGAAAATACATCCCTTGGAGAAAGCTGATGAAGAGGCCTCAGAAAAGAAATCTGACGGAGCCTGCGATTCCCCATCCAGTGACAAGGAGAACTCGGGACAGGCAGCCCAGGACAACCAGAAGGAAACCATCCTGAAGGAGGATGACAACAGGAGGGAAAGTATGAGTAAGTAGTGAGACGGCATGCCAGTGGGTAGCACCTGGAAGTGAGTATTTGAATTTATCTACCTCTTGGGTCCGGGCCATGCTGTTTGTGTGATGTTTAAAGAGCGTGATATAATGAAAATCCTGAAATTGTCATTGTTAGTGGTGCAGCTTTGGTGGCATCAGGGCTTAAAGCAGAAAACATGCTGTTGTTCTAATACCAAAAGCTATGCGTGAGACTTATCAGCTTCCAAAATAATGAGAGTATTTAAAAAAAGCGAGGGGAAACAGGAAGAGTTTGCGCGGAGTCAAAAAGTTCTGCTGTGATGTTCACCCTCGGATCAAACATCTCTGCTTCTAAAGCCTGGTGGTGTTCTGCAGTCAGAGACAAACTCGAATTTTCTTTCATGTCCCCAGCTGACATAAAATCTTATTTAATTAATTTTGGTTTATGCCCTTTCCAGTTTTTAAATGCTGAGACGAAATTCATGTGGAACAATGCATATTAATTTTATTTCTAGGGGTTCAAAATAAAGCACACTTTGAAACATTGTTCCCCTTTTTCATATCTTCCTCCTTGCTGCAGAACTAAACAGTGGATGTCCCAGGCTTTTCTTGGCTCTGAGAAGGTATCGTTTGAAAGAGGAAAAAAAAAGATACTAATGTCCTGTGTAACCAACCCTACAGCATAGCTCTGATCTGGATAACTTGTTTTTTAAAGGCACATAAATGTAATAAACAGTTTATATTTGCAAATAACAGCTCCAGCCTCTGGGGAAGATGTATGTAACCTTCTCTAATATGGAGAAGAGGAAACTTGGGAAACAGCCCAGCAAGCTAATAGCAAAATCAGGAGTGGAAAACAAGTTCTACCAAGCTCTAGTCCCAAGTTTAATAATTGTCAGCTGTTTTGGATCGGCACTGGAAAAAGTTATGAGCTGTTTTGATTTCATCGCAATGCTCTGTAGAACCAGGAAGGAAAAAACTGTTTACAGAAATTATCTGGCTTTTGGGGTGGTTTTTTGAGCCGTAGTTCTCTTAAAATACCTCATAAAAGGCATGGGAATTACCTTTTGCTTTAAAAATGTTTGTTGACCAAACTTACAGCAGTATTTTTGGGCTTGGGTGTTTAGTACCACAAGGTTTTATTCCGTGATGTGCAGTGTTCTAAGCAGCTGTGGTCTTACTGCTACTGCCAGTGTAGTGCTCTGAGATTCGGAAGAATATTGCAGGAAGGGGGATTCCTGCCCCCTTTTCAGTCTCTGCCTCAGCTGGTTATTGGGCCTGTGTTTCGTTGCCTCTCTAAACTGGGACAGTCCTACCCTTTCTGTAAAAGATTAACCTCAACACTTTCAAATCAAAGATTCTAGCAGAGTCGTAACGTAATCGGTAAAAGCAGTAAGCGCTCCTTCTTTTGACTCTTCTGCTGCTGCTGTATGTGCATTTAGTAGAAGGATGTTTTCCTGCTCGTGCTGTCAGATTCTATGTTATAACAGAACATAGATTCAGAGTAAGCTCATTACTGAATCTGTGTTCCAGAGCCTGTCAAAAACACTGCGTAGCATTTGTTACACCTATACAGCGTGTTACAGACTTGCTTTCGTTTGGTGGGTTCAGGCCCTGAATCGCACCCACAGGAGGCTCTGTGCAGCATCGGAAGGTACCGAGCCACCCTTACTTTGACTTTTTCTTTTTAATAATTTGCATACTTGACCACTGGAGATATGAGTGGGCATTCGGAAGTGTTGACAAGCTCTGCACAGTGTCAGAGCTGTATCGTTCTGCGCGCACACGAGGGGCAGAGTTAACCTGAGCAGCGTTACCAGTACTTCTGTCAAACTTGCTGATTTGGTTGAAGATAAAAAGGGGCAGAGAGAGAGAGACCTTCAGTCTCTCTGGTTAGGAGTCTGCCATGCTTCCGAAGCTAAAATTACAAGGTTTTATAGCAGCTTTTTTGTGTCATATGTGCAGTCTAAAGTGGCTTTGTATTTTTAGTTGCTTAGGGAGTGAGCTCTGGAAAATCTGCACAAGTGAGAGGAAAGGCTGATTTTCCCTGCAAGTGATTGGTGAACTACTGAAGGCAGGTGCTGCAGCTTGAGCTGTACTTGGAACTAACACTGCTTTGGAGAATCCAAAACAAGCGGTGAATGGAACGAGACAACAACATGCGGACGAGGTTTCGGTAGTATAGCCAATATAAGTTTTATCGCAAACGATGCAACAACAAATGAAGGATGCTTTTTGTAAAGTCACTTCAGGGAGGAATGTCTAGTGATTTCTTCTTCCCTGCCCCTGAGTATCCAGGAGCACCTGGATTTGATGTAGTCATCCCTGTTTCTAGAATCTAGAAAGTAAATCACGGGAGGAGAGGTCGCTTACAGGCCTGTCGCAGAGGCAGCAGCACAACCAATTCCTTGAAGTCAGAGCCAGGACTAAGCAACACATTATTATTTCTTAAATATAAACTTGCGATGTGTGATATGTGCATCCAGCAAAGGTCACATGCAGCTGCTTAAAAGATGTCGAGGCAGATCTCTGAAAGCAGATCTCTTGCAGAGCTTGAAGTGTCTCATGCGGGGCTTCCACTGTGCTGTTGAGCAGAAGGACATAGTTCAGTGTTTGTGAACTTACCAGGATTTTTCTTAATATAAATGCGGAACTGAAGCAGGAAAAAGTTATGTCTTGGCCTGACTGGCAGTGAAAGGATTCGTCTCTTTTCACACATGCTGTTGCTGTTACAAAATTCAAGGGCTTTTAAAGAAAAACTTCTGTGAGCGATGCCTGGAGCAGACTTTCATCTGGAATGAGGCACCGATGTGGCGAGTGGCTGCACCTTTATGCCTGTGGTGCAGTGAGCCCAGAGCTCCCAGCTCTGATCTGTCCCCTAATCAAGGTGACTGATTCTGGAAGATGGGGAGGGGCAGAACTTGGTTTTATACCACATCAGCTATAATGCTGTTGAAGCTTAAATGCTATAGGGCTTACAATATGACAATGATATATATATATATAG